GGCAGCATGAAAAAATCTCAGGCTACCACTACCCATGTCAGATTTTTCCTGTGGATCAGTGAAGTCCTTCGGTTTCCAGAGGAGTCAAAGACTTCTGTAATGATCTTATAAAATGTCTTCCTTACAAATTATTCTGTTACTTTGTTTTATATGATATTGTACTAATCTGGTCCCTTAAATACATACATTCTCCTTTTCCAGTCCCCCTTCCTTGTTGTTAATTTCTCTGCCCCAATTTTAGGTTCTCTAACTCAGTGTTTCTTAACCTTTTTTTTTTACAAAGTACCCCTTTAAAAAAAATTATAAGTACCCCAGTATCTACAGTTTTCAGACACATAACATTTTTCTACCATTGCAATACATTTGTTTAATCAACTTAATTGTAGCAATTTTTGGATGTAAAACTTAAAACAAATTAATTTTTCTTCAAATTTCAGTTGTTGACGTACCCCCCAGACCTCTCTCGAGCACCCCTAAGGGTACTCATACCACTGATTGAGAAACACTGCTCTAACTTATTGCCTTCACCAACGCTAGTAGATGCTCTCTGTTTGCCTCTTAAATAGCAGAAACCTAACAGTGAGGTTCAGTTGTCCTTGGTGTTTTGGTTTATGTTCATAAGCATAAATGTACACCAGGGTGAAGGCTGGATCTGCTATTCCTTAAACAGAAAGCTCCACTAAAGATCTATCTAGGTGTCAGAGATCATTGGTCTTGAGCCTGGACCGTGGGTCCCCAGGCAGTGTTTAAACTGTGGGTGACACCTGGCAGTGGAGAAGAGGATTAGCTCATGAAGGGCTTAGGCAGCAAAGTTCCTGATTGGGAGTAACATCCAGCCTCACTAATTGCTTAGATGCACTGTTTCCCAGAAGAGAAGTGGAAAGTTGAGAGCAAGTAGATGGATGCTTTGTTGGCTCTCACTTACAGCCTGCCTACTTACCCATTGGCCTGTTCTTGTTGATCAACTCTGCCCCTACACGGGCCAGGTAAATTACGAATCTGGGGGAATCCCAAACCATGAGCTCCACAGAGGGCCTTTATGGACTGGTGTAGCAGACAACTTTTAATAATGCAGAAGCAGCCTGGATGCTACTGAGTCCTCTATGGACCAATCCATTCCAGACTTGAGTGAAGCTCATTTGAAGAAGTGGGTTTTACCCACAAAAGCTCATGATACTATATATATTTTTATTAAGACTCTAAAGTGTCCCAGGACAACTAACTATTTTTAAGATTTATTTGTGGGACGGTAAGAGGATAGCCAGGGATCAGATTACGGCCGAGTTTGGTGCCTTTTGCTGGAGAGAACTGCTACAGTGTGATGTTTCACATTTCCATCAGAATTTCCAGAATAAGAGAAACTCTTGAGAAGAAAGTGTAGAGCTATTTAGACAAAAACCAAAGAGGCATTGAAATTCTTCACAAGAGTCATATGACCAGACCGGGCCTTCCAGAATCCTCCTAAACCATAATTTGAACATATCACAAGGTCTTTGGGCTAGGTCTACACTACGAGTTTCTGCTGCAGAAAAAAATGCTAATTAGGGACTCATTAGCATAAATCGTGATCTTATTGGCATATTTTCTGCCAATCCCTTTTTTTGCTAGGGGTTTTTGTGCAAAAAACAAGCAGCGTGGACTTTCCTTATTGCGCAAAAACCCTTTTTTTGCGCAAGATCAGTATACTTCCTTTTTTGAGGCATAAGGATCTTGCACAAAAAGGGGTTTTTGGTGCAAAAAGGAAACATCCATACTGCTTGTTTTTGCGCAAAAACCCCCAGCGAAAAAAAAATGGATTGGCAGAAAATATGCAAATGAGATAGTGACTTATGCTAATGAGTCCCTCTAGCATATTTTCTGACACACAAACTCGTAGTGTAGATTTAGCCCCGTTCATGTTACTTTCTGCCAGCTAGTTCCATGCATCGCCATATCAGAGTAGTGAAATATAGAGCTTCAGATGTTTTCCAAACTGGTTTACTTATTGTTGGGTCACTTCGTTCTTTCAGCCTTCTTGGACCATTCAGGATCTTGACAGATTTACTTGATAAAGCAGCTTTGTAAGTATTGTACTGTGTGAAATAACAAACCACAGAATGGCATAATGTCTCCCTCAGGAATAGTTCTTAGTCAAGCATTCATTACAGTTAGTAGGGCAGTTCTGAGATCTGTGTGGAACAGAGGAAGCTAAAAATATTGACTCGTAGTAAAGATCATCCTACATGCTCAGCTTTACTGTTTCTTATCCTTTAGGTTTTTAAGTTAGTGACTTAAAAGATGGTTGAAAACCATTGCCAGCCATGTTGAGGAGAAAGTGATGGGCTAAGCTGCAGGAAGCTATTTTGAAGCTATAATAAAGTATTTCAGGTAGACTTTCTATAGTTCAGTGATGCTTTAAAGCTCATTTGTCGCATGGCAATTTAGGAGTAAATATCCAATGGTTTATTTACCCGGGTATCTTTTTGTATTTTCACTTCTGTTTCAAATCGCATCACTGCCTTCCAAACACATCCAGAAAATAATGTGCCTTCAGTCCAGAAACTCATTATACTCAATATCTAAACTCCATCTTGGCAAATACTGGGCATAAGAGTTTATTAGAGTTGCAAAACTGCAGATGGGTATCTTGAAACTGCACTTCCTTTAGTCCCTTACTTTCAGGTGTCTAAAATGATTTCAGTCACAATTGATGTTTATGAACAAAGAATCCTTGCAAACAGCTGGTGGTAATATGCATACAGATGTTAACTACATACAAATTCTTGCACATCAGATTGCAGCATAGAAACATTTGGTGTTCAATAATCTGTTCATTCACGAAGATAGTTATGGTTAACGGCTGTGTCATTTTTCAGGATACAACTAAGTTGCTTTTACTAAAAGAAAATTATTCATTTACATACAATAATGCAACAAAGTTGCCTTCAAAGAGCAAGGTTTGTTTTTATTTTAAAATGGGTTGACATAAAAATTGGAATTTTATAGTCTGGGAAGAATACATAAAATGATACGTAGAGCGGAATCTGGGTCTTTTTGTACGTGTGCATCGTTCTCCTTCTCCCTCCCCACCCCAAAAGACCCCAATTTGGATTAAAGATTTTCAGATTGTGGTGGTGGTAATATCAGCACTGAGGAATTGGGTGTGTTTGATTTTATTAAAGAAGTTGTGAGATGCATGCTGGTTGTTCATGTACTTTCACATGGTTATCAGGACTGTGCAATATACTTCAATAAATAAAAGCCCCATCTGGCCCAAAACTCCAATAGAAGTATCCTGCCTTCACATACTGATCTGTCAATGAGACTTTAACAGTTAGGGGAAAAGGTGGGGCGGGGTAGAAAACGTGTTCAGTGGCAGGCAATAATCATTTAATCAAAAGGGAAATAGTTAATTATGTTGTGAGGAGACATTATCCCATGTTGTACAGGTTCTCGAATCCTCCCACAGCTGAGGCTATTATACTTCCAGGTCAGTACACAATCACCTTCCAGGTCTGTTGAACATATAACAAAGCAGATGCTGCTAAGGTTGGTTTGAGTTTATTCATTTGCCTTAGTTGGTTGATGTCATTGTCCAGTCTTTTAAATAGTCAAATCAAATACTTATACTGAGAGTTTTGGAATCCCTACTTCAGAGTTTTATCATTTGTTTCATATATTGGCTGGCTAGAGATATAAGAGTTATAAGTTATAAGAGTACTGTGGCCTGTACTTTGTTTGCAGATTAACAGGTGTTGAGATTATCTACCTTGAAATTCACAGGACTGCTGTGAAATTCACAGGTCCTAGTTTCATGAATCTGCCCCAGGTTGTATAGCTTCAGAGGGGTATCCAAGTTAGTCTGTAACAGGAAAAACTTAACAACAAATAGTCTGGTAGCACTTTATAAACTAACAAAACATGTAGATGGTATCATGAGCTTTCGTGGGCACAACCCACTTCTTCAGATGCCTGTAGTGTGTTCTGGACATCCAACACTCCAGTCATCTGAAGAAGTGGGCTGTGCCCACCAAAGCTCATGATACCCATCTACATGTTTTGTTAGTCTTTTAAAGTGCTACCAGACTATTTGTGTGTTAAGTTTTTCCAGGTTTTACAGGCGTGGCAGGCAGAACTGTGAGAATTCTGCATTTAAACTTAAGCTGTTGGCACAAATACGGTAATGTCGCATTTGCAAAACCATGTTATATCAGGCAGTGAAACACATGGTTGCAGCATTAAAACACCATGTCTCAAATGCACATAACATTGCAAACTTTGTGCCCGGAGAAACTCATTTGGAAAGAGAACTTAAAAATGTAACCCTCTCTCTTTTTATGATATCAGCAATCTCTGCTAGCCTATCACACAAGAGGCGGGAGCAGCCATTTGAAGGTTGCATCCCACATACCATTTCGCCTACTGTTTTTTCTTTATTTGTTAAAATTTAAGATTAAGTGCTCTGCAGTTGTTCCTTCCTCCATTCTGTGACCTCTGTATGGAGCACATTCTGTTTGGTATAATATTGTGCTTGTGCCACTCATAGGAAGTGGACTGAGTAGATTCCCGGAGCTGAACTATCCATTACCAACCACAGTTATTAGAGGGTGGCTAGCAGCATGTGAATTAAACTGAAAGAGCAATTATTAACCTCTTGTATTTTAGCTGGCAAGTATAAATATCACCCAACTCATCCATTCGTGGGGCATCAGTCCATTATAATTTTGCTTTAAAATTTCATGTTTTCTTTGTGTGGATAAATTGTAGAGTCAATTAATTAATGCTCATGTAGCTGTGTGGAAATGTAGCTCATTTACATTTTTCAATTTGTACTGCTCCAAATGCTTACTTTCTGAAAAATCCCATAAAAAAATATGTCCATAAATGTCAAAAGTCAAATTTTAAGCTTATGAATATTTAGAAACCGTCTGGCCATATTCCTTTGGTTTTTAGTATGTCACTTAGCAGTGATAGAAGCTTCTGAGGTTTGCTAATGCTAACATGCCATTTGTTTTTTCTAGGGTAATAAATGCAGGGAAGAGCACACATAATGAAGACCAAGCAAGCTGTGAAGTGCTTTTTGTAAAGAAGAAAACTGGAGGCACTATTTCCACACCTAACAAAAATACGTCCACAAAACGAAGGTCCTCACTGCCAAATGGAGAAGGACTACAACTAAAAGACAACTCGGTAAGTAGCCTTCACTAATCTTGCTGTCAGAACAGAAATACAGACTAACATAGTAGAGACCGTAGTGTAAGACCAGTGAAAAACCTAACAATTCCGAAGTGTTGCAGATTTTTTTTATATACTCTTCTCTGGCCTAATTGGCTCTGCTTTCTCAAAGATAGTTTTACTCATTTTATTTAGCTCCATTTTTGGGTTCTGAATTTCACATGCTGCAAATTGTTTCTCATGTAAAGGAGAGAAGACAAACAATCATAGTGGACATGCTAAAGCTATTTAAAATAATGGATATAATGAAGGCCCATTTTCTCTTTCTCATAGCATAAGCCCAAGAGAACATAACCAGAATTTTTAGGCAACATATCGAACACAGATAAAAGGAAATACTTTTTATTATAATACATATTTAACAAATGGCATTCACTGCCTCAAGTTATTGAGAGTGCTTAGTGGGATTCAGAAATAGTCCTTAATCACATATAGTCTTAATATTTATATATAAATAGGAGTTATAGATATAGAGATATATTTATCTATATCTATATCTATATTTATTTCATGGTACAAACTACTCATTAATAGCCTTGTTTAGAGAAGAAATTTCTCCTGTGGGCAGGTTTTGACATAGAGGATTTCTTGCAATCAGTGGAAGATTGGCCATTGTTAAGGCTCAGATTTAGTCATTTTAGTAAAAATCATGACAGAGAACAGGCAATAAACAAAAATATCCCTGACAAAATGGGAAGGGAGGAGAGTCTCCCTACCACCTGCCCTGTCTAAAACACTGTGGGGTCCCCCACTGCCTGCTGCGGCATGGTGAGTGGGAACTCTCGGGAACCCCCAGGAAGCTCTGGGGTCCCCCTGCTACCATTATAGAGTATGTTGTTTGTGGCATCTGTAGGCAGCCTCTGTGTCACTGAAATGTGTATAGATAACAGAATGCATTTAAGTGTTTGTTCTTGCTCGTCATATCACCACTCTTCCTTCTGATGTTCTCAGCTTCATTTCTCACTCAGTCTTTTGCAAACTAGGATTATTATCTTAAAGGCACCATGAATATATGTGAAACTTCTCAATTACAAAAACATATGGGAAAACAAGCAGAAGACTGGCTCTGCCCTGAGGTTATGAACAGGTAAAAGGTGATGAGGGAAGGTCTTAAATATCAAAACCAAAACCAAGAAACCCGGGACACAAAAATCTTTATATTTGACCAGAGTGAATTGAAAATTGCTCAAGACACTAGGACAGCAGAGAATGACGACATCTAATAGTAATAAATCCCTTTTAAAAATGTTACTCCAGCTCCTCTACAGATTTTTGTCAAGGTCCTGAATTTTCAACAAGTTAAATTTGTAATTGCATAGGCCAGGGGTGGGGAAACTAGGGCTGGGGCCAGATGCAGCCCCCAGCTTCCCTGGAAATGGCCCCCGATGCTTGGTGCTCCCCCCAATATTGAGGAGCCCATAGTGGAACTCCAGCCATCCTGCTGCCGCACCACAGGAACGTAGCGCACACAGTCTATTAGCCTAGGCCGCCCAAGGCTCTGGTGTGTAAGGGGAATGTGAAGAGTGTCTTTCTCCTTCTGAGTCAGGGGCTGTGTCAGTGAGCGTTTGGGGATTTTTTGCTTTTCACTTGTATGCAGCCCTGGACTGATTTTTCTGTGGGTCAGCAGCTCCTGCCCTCATAAGCAAAATACTAATTCAGCTATGCCCTGAACTAGTTCAAACAATGAAATTCTGCAAATCTATTCAGTATTTGCATGCACAGATGATCAGAATAGTCATGTAAACATGTACTTCTTGACTTGTGCTCACAGTAACAGTAATTGCACATATGTGCACCCCATTTGTTTTAAAATTAAATACCAAATGAGGATCATGCTGGTATCCTGCAGTATAGTTCTAATTTGACACTCAGTTAAGTGTTGTTTTGTTTTCCTGCCTGATACACTGTTTTGATGTTCATGGAACATAGGAAGTGTCATACTAGGTGTCACTAATATTCCAGACAGTCTAGTTCCTTTTCTCCAACTGTTGCCAGAATCAAATGATTCATAGGAAGATAAAAAGGAAGATTATTTACATAATTGTCTGCCTAAAGGGAATATGTTTTTCCAAATCAAAGATAGTTTGTGGTTTTATATCCCTAGTTTACATGATTTTTGATTCTATCTAAATGTAATCAAATCATTAATCAAATGTTCTCATTATCTTTTCCATGATGACAGTGAGTTCTGCGAGTTAATTACTTTTTTAAACTTTCTTTTTGTCAGTTTTAAACTGGCTGACAGCCAGCCTAATTAAATATCCCCATGTTCCTGTGTTATGAAAAATGGTTTATAGAATCTGAGTCTTGCTGTCTTCATATTGAGTTATTTAATGTGCTGCTCTCATAACCTTTCTCTCCTCAAGTGAACAATCTGGTCTTTACAGTCTTCCTACACACAGTAGTCTTTCCATAAATCTAGTTTTTGTTACCTGTATCCACGCCTCTTCGATTTCTGCAGTATCTCTCTTTTTGAGAGTTGACCCCAGACGAACACAGTATTCCAGGTGAGACACCATTGTTGTCTATGCTAGCGTGACAATACTTTCAGTAGCATTAGCTATCCATTCTTGATACTTTTTTTTATATATCCTATCTAAAGAACTTCCTCCATATTTTACTAAATAGACACCACAAGATGATGCTGTATGTATTGGCATATAACAAAATGGCAGATATAATATTTCCCAAAACAGGGAGCCATATGGCTGAGGGTATTTAGCTACTGGGGGCAGTCTTGCTCTAGCAGCTAGCAGAGGTTGTTTTTTTTTCCTGGTTGTGTACGTGCTGGGCTGAACCTATGAAAAAAGATGAGGTCACATAGTTATTAGTATTAATTATTTGTATTATTTAAAGCATAGCAGACCTTTTACCTGTTAGCATTCTTTGGTAGAGTTCCAGGGCTAAGGATACTGTATTTTTTAAATACGATAGGATTTTTTTTTAATATGAGGAAGTTTATGTAAAATGCAGGCTGTTATGCATCACATTAATATGTAGAAATAAAGAAATGAGACACTTCAAGGCATACATCTTGCTGGGCTGTTGTTTTACCTCACAGGGGTTATTAGGAAAAAAGCCGAACATTGAGTTCTGCAGTCTCTCAGAAGGGATATCCCAGCATGACACACACTCTGAAATCTTACTGTGGTTATTAAAGGGTTCTGTGTAAAGAGAGGAAGAAGGAAAGGATTTATTAAAATAATTGTTTAAAGGCAAGGTATTTCACAGAGTTAAAACAATTAAAAAGGAAATGCAAATTGAATTTTAAAATCTTTATTTACTAATACTATTTTTTCTTCAGATTTCTTTATACTTGGCAGAACATGCTTTCCATACTACATGCCTTTTCTTTCTTCTCCCATCCTCCATTTTTCTCACATTCCCTGGGACATTTTTATGACTTAAATGGCAGCCAGATTTGGAAGTTGTAAAATCCTTTTCATTTCATCAAAGAAACTGGAAATCCCCATCCCCCATGAGCAAGGATGATGGAAGTGCTGCTTGGAGATGTGTGAGGTGCTTGCCAAGCAATATGGTTTTAAAAAGAGAAGTTGCCATCTGGTGCGGTATCATTAAGTGGCTTCCAACAGAGTTTCCTTTGCACCTGGAGATGGCAGAGAAGCACTGTAATAGGGCCCTGATCCTGTAAGCTGTTTGTACATATATCTATTAATATGGGGGACCCCACTGAAATCACTGGGCTCTGCATGGGAACGGGAAATTGCCTATGTACATTAGCTTCAAGATCTAGAACCCAGTTCCTCAAAACTGAGCTATAAAGTTAGAGCCTCCCAGCAGGAAGAAAATGGACCTACATAGCAAAGATGAATCAAGAAAGGGATGTAGGGCTATTTTTTGCCCATAGAAAAAGCAAGGAAACCTGGAAATGAGAAATTAACTTTTTGTTTCAAAAATGACAAAAGCCCAAGAAGAAAAAAATCCTATTGAGATCTTCATCTTCATTTCATCTTGCAATGGGAGGGTCGTTTCCAGCCTGCCTAAAATTTTGCCTCAAATTGAATCTGTGTACTATAAAAGGTGTATACAATTTCGTTTGTGATTCAAGGTCTTACTGTGCACATATGTCTCTTGTGATTCTTTGTCTGTTGCTTTGTTAAAAACAAACGCCACATTTGTAAAGCTTGAATGCTTTTAAAAGGTTAACATTAATTTATCTTATAATTACAGGAGACTGCTTTCAGCTAGGTTTAGTAGCAGAGGAGCCTGAAGCTGATTTGATCTCACAGCAGACTAGAAATGCATTGTGAGATTCAGAGCAGTGAGATGGCTGCTTATTATATTTATTATTAACTAGCCAATTAGTCTGTCATAAGACAGGATTTTCAGGTCTCTCCTCCACGTCGGTCTTCTCTCCTGAGCCTCCGGTCTCTCACTCCATCTCTCTCTCTCCTCCTCCTCCTCCTGCCTCCCCCCATCTCTCTCTTTCAGCTCTCCACCACCTCCTGCCTCTCTCTCTCTCTCTCTCTCTTTCTCTTCTCCTCCCCCTCCTGCCTCTCACTCGTGGGACTGTGGCGCCCAAATGGCCGTTTGGGCTCCGCACTCCCTGTGCTGAATGGGGGGCGCGGAGCCTAACGGTCAGTTGCGCCGCTTGCTCCCATGTGGTGGCCTGGCTGAGCAGCGCCACGGCGGGAGGCGAAGGGGGGTGGGGCAGTAACGTTCACGGCCAGGGGACGGGGCCTGGAGCTGCTGTCACGCCACACATCACTGCCCCTCTTCCCTTCCCCTCCTGCCGTGGCGCTCGGCTGACTTCCGCACCGCTCAGCCGGGCTGCCACGGGGGAGCAAGCGGCCGTTTGGGCCCCGCACTCCCCATGCAACATGAGCCACCCAGAGGGAACAGCCAGCATTTCAGCCACGGCACCACCCAGAGGGAACAGCCAGCATTTCAGCGTTACAGACTCACTGGTGCCTATTCAGTGTTCTATAGCCTTCCCCAAATTTAAAAAAAGGTTTTAGATTCTTTATCATATCATTGCTGTGTTTTGATTGATGAAATTTTCAGCTGAAGGATTCTGGTCAGCCAGTGGAGATGGAGAGGCAGGATTGAGAGACCATTACTTTATAGATTACAGCAGATGGAACTGTGTTTTAACTAATTTCACAGGGGAAAAATGGTTTGTGAACTATGTGCTTCACTCCATAATCCCTCCACAAACCCACCAACTGACTAGCCATTTTGACTACTCAGAACTTTTCTTTGTGACTGCCATTGAAATAAAAATGTGAACCAAGTTACTAAGTAGCAGCAAAGGTTTACCAGTTCAAGCAGAAGAAAGTACAGCAATCATCTTCCATTCTGATTTAATTTAAAAAAATCTTTCACGGTCTCAAGATACCTTTTGTGACAGCTGTGTTACATGTTGACAACATGTATGGCAGCTACCATGCTGACTGATACATCAGGGACCTTTGACCTGAAAGCATGATCTTAAACTCAGAGTTATAACACTCCTGTATTCTTTGTGGATTAACACAGAGGGCAGCACCAAACACACAGACCAGTAGGTTGAATATGTCCTCTGATCAGAGGAAGCTCATCCCAAGCATTTAAGGACCATTGCAGTCAAATCCTGTGCGTGAGTTCCCTCTTATGTGGTTGTTACCATCTTGGCCAGTGCTAAGGATTGAATCACGGGCTTCTAAAGCTAAGAGCTAAATTCTCTCAAGTCTCAAGATAAAGCAGTACGCTTTCAAAACTTAGACCTGTACCAGCCTCATATACTGAATGTATATAGACACAGAAGAGGACATCTGACACCCCCTGACCACATTCAAGTGTTTCTGGGAAGTAGAGACCACTGGATTGTAGCTTAGGATTGCTAACTGTCTAACGGCACAAACCCAAACACCCTTGCCTTGTCCTTTGCTACGTCTTTGAGGCCCCAACTCTCTCACCTTCCCCTCCCCTTTTCTTACTCAATCTCCCCCATGTTTACTCACTTTCACCAATGTTTTTATTTACCAAAAATTCCAAAAAAAAAGTTGGTTTCGGTTAAACCATCATGTACAGTGAAATTTTTTGGCTGCCAACCAACCAAAAAGTAAGTTATTCATGCCACTTTAGTTACTACTGGAAAGCTAGTTGTGCACCTTGGTCTGATTCCTAGTGGATAAATGACCATGTCACAAAAGTATTTAGCCCCACTGCAAGTGGTCCATTCACAAGGGAGGGAAGGGCAAAGTAGAGTGGGTATAACGAACTAGCTTCCTTCCCCAGTGATGTCATGCCTTCTGGGCATAGTTGATACAGTATGTAGAATACTGTAAATTTAATCAGCCTTTCCAGGGGATGGGGTCAGCCAAGTGACATGACATTTTTCCCTTCCAAAAAACGCCTATTCTTTTGTATCTCAGAACAGGTCAGGTACATTAGATAAAGTGCAAATAATTGTCAGTGTTGCTTGGGTCACTGGCAACCCTGATAACTGTGTACATGGTGTTTTGTGTTTTTTTTTTCTTCTCACAAACAGGAAAATGATGGCATCAGCTTGTACTTCTGGTCCCTGTTTGATGGACATGCTGGATCTGGGGCAGCTGTGGTAGCATCCAAACTGCTTCATCACCATATTGTGGAGCAGCTGCAGGAGATTGCGGAGATCCTGAAGAACTCTGCGGTCCTTCCCCCAACCTGCCTAGGGGAGGAGCCAGAAAGCCCAGCCACTAACAGCAGAACTCTAACCAGGGCAGCCTCTCTGCGTGGGGGGGTTGGAGCTCCGGGCTCACCCAACACCCCTCCAACACGCTTCTTTACAGAGAAGAAGATCCAACATGAGAGCCTTGTTATTGGAGCTATTGAAAGCGCATTCAGGGAAATGGTAGGTGTATTTCAGGGCTGCTTTCACAGCTTAATGAATGACATGGGTTGGGGAAGATGAATTTCTTTTCACTTGTTCAGTCTATAGTTAGGTCTGTATTTGGTGGCTCTGTCCTGTAGCGTCCAAGCCCCTCACAGTCTCTCATCCTTGCCACACCTCCACGAGTGGGGCTGTGCAGATGGGGAGCTATGGAGAGCTGTAAGAGAGATTCCTAAGCCCAGTTACACAAGAAAAGATGATAATCCTAAATTCCAGGGTGCTGTATTAATTACTGAACCATCCTTCCTGTCACAGTGTTGTGTAACTTGCTGAAGTAGCTTTTAGAAACATCTTTATTTTTAGACATGTAGAAAGTTACATTGTTCCACAATAGAAGATAATCAGTTTTCAATGGTAAGGTAAATTATTGACACTAGGCTGTATATTTCCTAATAACAAATGGTGATGTTTATCCTGGTCCAGTGGGATGACCTAATGCCCTGCATAAAGGGTGTGGAAGAAAGTTGCACAGAGGATGCGCTGGCACTCCTCATGCCACTGGCAGGGTCCCTGTACCAGCCTTGATATAGGAGGCCACGTTCTGGCAGTTTG